GTGAAGCTGTGTGAAGCTCCAGGCCAAAACTGTTTTCTGTAACTTCTGTCCTGTCGTTTCTTTCCTTATAGGAGGGCATTTTCTTGCCTCTTATGCGGAAGACCTTCCATCCCAGATGACCAGTCTGACACTGCGAACATCCATATGCGCGTGCCAGATGAGCTCCATTGCATATCAGCTCCAGCGAGTTGAGCATCTGGACATAGATCAGAACCGCTATGATGATTGTCTCTGCAAACAGCTTCCTACACTGTTTCCTCAACTCAAGACTCTCAGGATACGGTATGCCCAGCAGATTTTTATTTTTATTACTATTACAAAGTAAAAGTTCCATTTCAAATTCAAATTTTATTTGTCACACACACACACAACCATACACAGTATGACATGGGGGTGAAATGCTTGTAGCTGTACAATGCCCGACCATTAAATGACAGAAAAAACGTTTTACAGTATTTACAATTTACAGGTTACGACAAAATTTACAAATTAACTTAGAAATTTACAGTAAAAAATGTGCAAATAGCAGAAAGAGATTATAAAGATTATAAATTATAAGAAATGTGTGGTGGTACGTGTTGTGATGTGTGTTGTGATGTGTGTGAGAGAGTCCAGTCCTACACCTGGTTCAGGGCCCGAATAGCCTGGGGGAAGAAGCTCCTCTCTCTGTTTTGGCCTTAAGGAAGCGGAAGCGCTTCCCAGACCTCAACAGTGAGAAGAGTCCATTGTTGGAATGGGAGAGGTCCATCATAATCTTCCTAGCTTTGGACTTGCTTGGTGTAGATGGACAGCTGGTCAGGGAGCTCTGATTGAATGATGCGTTCGGTTGAGCGCACCACTCTTTGCAGATCTTGTCTGTCCTGCTTGGTGCTGTTCCCAAACCAGGTGCAGATGTTTGCCATCAGGACGCTCTCGATGGTGCATCATTTACATTTTGCTGCAAATTAAGCTTTTCTCTGTCTTGATTTCTTAAGTACAACTGAAACACTACAGAAAATCGTGTCAACAATTTCCCATTATGGGTCTATAGTTGCCAACACGCAACTAGAGCTGACGTTTTTTCCTGTCTTGTCTTCTGTAGCTTCCACCGTGAGGAACCAACAAGAGACCTGCTGCTCCTCAACAAGCTGCAACACCTGGAGCGACTGGAGCTGATCAAGAGACAGACATACATTCTTATAAGTGACGAAAACAAAACTTGGCCGAGTCCATCTTTGGAGGGACTGATCAAGGAGCTGCGGGAGATCTCCAGGAACAGGTTCAGCATC